ACTGTAATCAGAAAACTTTAATCTATTTCCGTATTGAAACGGAATTTGAAATTATGTGTTTATTTTCGAGAAAGATTTTAAGATTTTGATGGTCATCAACAAAATATTCCTTATGTTTGGACTAAATTTTCTCGAAAATAAAGAAGTTGTCTAGAAATGTGCTACAATACGGATATAGTATAATCCTTTATCTTTTTTTCGGACTAGTGAAATGGACTCTTAAGTATGTGGGCAAATAATACTGCAAATAAACAAACGATTAGGTAATTTGCACTAGGTATAATTTTGGAAATGTTTGCCAATCTATGGCCATCGAATATTAAAGAGAATCAACGAGTTAGTTAATATTCATCGCAGAACATTTTTGTCGTATAATTTATTCGCCCGTTTCTTTGTCTCAATCTCCCCCTATAATTACAAAACTCCCTTTGTTTGTTTTAACTAAAGTAAAAGTGAAAAGCGACAAAGGCAGGCGTTCTATTATCTGTCTTGCTCTTTCCCGTTCGCTTTTTCATCTCAGCCCGCTAATGCACTATTTATTTATCCAAGTCTCTGCCCGATAATTATAGTTTCGGGTTACCGAGCTAATAACGCGACATTTCCAATATTTACCCGAAAAATCGAGCTTTGATCGATACGTGCCGCCCCCTTTGTTTAGTCTCTGGAGATGTATTTTCTAATTGGTTTAGTTCATTTCAGATAATCTGTCGAAAAACTGTATATATTATCGAAAAAAATTATGTTTTTTGGTTGAATTAAAAATGGTTTAAAAAGGCGTTGGTCTTTTTGTTTCAGTCTCGGTTTCAGTTATAAAAATACATCATTGGAAATGACTACAACTTTTGATTTTTGAAATGACACCCTCGGTATTTTTTTTATATTATATCCATATATTATATTATTTCCATAGAAAATGACATTCTAAATAGAATGACATATCATATGTCAACTTTTGACATTTTTGCTTAAAACAAAATTGAATTTTAAATTTCAATCTAGAGCGCCATGGCTGTGTTAAAATCACTAATTTTTAATCAGGGAGCCTTGGAAAAATAGATTTTATCGTCTAATATTATTCGTGTCTTGTCCTGGCCGGTTAAAAGATGCCCAAATCGTATTTTTAATCATATCTCAATTTTTTCAAATGGAACGAGGGTGGCTCATTAGCATATTTGGTTAGGTTAAGTTAGGTATAAAAGCATTTTTTCGAATAATTTGGTACCACTCACTTGGTATTTCGAGTCAAATTGTCATTATGAATCGCATGTTTCAATTTCAAATAAACAATATTCGAAAATGTCAAAAGTTGACATATGATATGTCATTCTATTCAGAGTGTCATTTTCTATCGAATAGAGCAACAAAACACCGAGGGTACCATTTAAAAATCAAAAGTTATAGTCATTTCCGGTGAAACAGGAAGTGACAGAAAACAACTGAATACGTCAATCAATCCTAATTTATGTCATATATTAATATACCAAATCTCGATTTTTTAGCTGAGATGATGTTAAGTGGGTGAGTCCCTTTTGGAGATGCACCCGGTATAGATCATACCTAATTTCAATTTCAAAAAAAAAGGTTTTTCAATTTTAATTAAGTTTGTTTATGTTATTATGTTATTATTATATATTATTGTTTTTGTTCTATAATTTTAGGTTACCTAAGTATTTTTTTTGGCTTGTGTTTATTTGTGTTCGTGTTAATTTTCTAACGACTGATTACTAAACATTATTGTTACGTATTATTATAACGAGAAAAAAAGAATATTATAGATTAAAAAGTGGGTTTATCAGAAAAAATCGGCCTATGTTGTGTGGTTTTCTCACCCAAGTCGGATCCTACTTATCTTACACACGACTAGATTTTTCATTCAACCCGACTAAATCGACCCAGTCTTCCTACCGAATTGTAGTTGTATTAATGATTATTCCGAGGATTATTCATATTTTTAAAAGTTTTAACTAAAATTAAGCAATTATATTTATTATTTCACTCCTTCTATTCTCTACAGCGAAACTAGAATTCTGAACAGAATTATTTCCCAAATCGTTTCTCTAAACTGCAGCCGTCATCACTCTATCCGCTTTCTGTAGGCCCCTGCTCTTTACTGTCAAAATTTATATCGCAACACGCAAACTGCCCGATGTCAGGCGACTGTTTCCTTGTTGTTGTTAAAATAAGGGGAGTAGAAACGTTGAGCCCGTCATCAGGCAACGCCTCTTCCACGGTCCCGTGTCTTTCAATACGCCTCAAAAAATTAGGGATGTTGATTTATCAAAAATGCATCGATATATTGTTTGGATATACAGGGTGGCGTCTCTCATCGACACGGAGGTTCCCAGAAGAACCAAGGAGGAAACATTTTTAAAAATTGTTAAATATGTCAAAAACCTTACATTTTAACTAGTGTTGCACAAGAGTCTTGAAAAAGTCTTGCAAGACCAAGACTCTTGCAAGAAATTCAAGACAAGACTTTCAAAATTTCTTGTCTTGAATTTCAAGACAAGACAAGACTTTAATATGCAAGAAATTTCAAGAGTCTTGTAAGATTTCTTGAATTCAAGATTTCTTGAAAGTTAGAAATGATACATTTTTTAAGTGATAATTAAGTCTTTGCGCAAGTTATGCCGGGTTTATACAACATTTACATAGTCGTAATCACAATCATAGTCATATATCATAAAAGTTAAACTATCCACTTCTTATAAACCTGTTGACATCTACCATGAACTTAGCCTTTAATTATTAATTATGTTACCCAACTTCACTGATATAAAAATTATGATTACCAAAATGTTCTATAAACGCACATTAAAATTGTGTGGTGATTATGACGATGATTAAGACTATGATTATGATTACAATTTATGCAAATGTTGTATATGTACGGCATTAATATTGACCAGTGTTCATTTTTTTCTATCACAGCCAGTGTTTTAGAGTTGAGAATGAAATAAAATAAAGTCGAGGCAACAAACCGTATATTGGTAATTGGTTTTATACACAAAATTATATTGGTATAATGGTATTATAAAAAAACTAACGATAGTTGAAACTAATGGTGGGTTCGTGGAGCACGCTATTTACGCTATTCGGTACTACTCTTCATGCACAAAATTGCTCCGCGAACAAAAAGTAGTATCAAATAGCGCAAATAGTACTCTAGCATGACCTTTCCGTACACCCTGTGTCCAAACTTTTCCAACCAATCTTCCATAATAAATAAAATAAATACCATAAAAAATAAAAGTAACTATAAACGGGTAACCAAAATAGAACATAATAAACTAAAAAGAATTAAAAACTAGAACTAAAAAATGAACGCACAAGGTTAGGTACGAAATAATAACCCAAAACCCATAAATCGAACTTAACCATACTTATTCTTATTCAGCTTTTATTTGGTAATGGCTCCTGTTTCGTCAAACGGGCGAGTTGACGTAGTTCGTTTGCGGTCCGTTAAGATTTTTTTTACTAAAATTAGCATCGTTGTTGTTCATTTTTCGCTATTACATTTTGTATACGATTTATTACCTTTTTGTTAGAATGTAAAATTTTTCAAGACAAGAAATTTCAAGAGTCTTGCAAGACAAGACAAGACTTTGCCGTTCAAGAAATCTGCAGGACAAGACTTTGAAAATTTCTTGTCTTGAATTTCAAGACAAGACAAGAAATTTATATTTTCAAGACAAGAATTCTTGTCTTGTGCAACACTAATTTTAACCATATACTTCTTTAATGAAACTCACCTTTATGTTTCTTGTAGTATTTAAAAATCATTTAATACCTACATAGAGTGTTCCATTACAAAAAATACAACGTTGATGTGTAACTTTCTTTTGGGACACCCTGTAGAACTCACTATAATTTTAAAAATGCTCTAAACTAACCTACATATGCTCACAAAATTTCATTTTATTACAAACTGTCGTTCTCCTTGGAGCCTCCGCGTCGTATGAGAGGCGCCATCCTGTATAGTAAAAAATATACTTTTGTAACGTGGTCACTGCTAGAAACATCTGAAAAATCAAAAAGAATATATCGCCTACAAAATAATCTATTTAATATCAATAAATCGTTATTAAAAATATCGATATCATTTATAGAAGTCGATAATTAAAAATATATCGATATAAAATCACATTTCTAGGGCGAAATTTAATCGGGTACTGCCACATCTTGCGTGCAATATGCCTTAAATATATATAAAGGAAACCCAAAAAAAGTATTTCTTGTCAAAAACGGTATGGCGTGACGCACAAGAAAAGAAGTAATTTTAATTTTTCATCTCTTTATTGTTCTTTTTCTTCTTCATTATATTTTGTGTTGTACGTCAAGATTCTTATATGAAATAAGGAATTTTGGGGAAATGTGATACAATATTAATTAGGGAAGCCGTATTATTGAGCGGAGTTCATATTTTAATTGCGAGAAACTGCCATTCTTTTCGATTTTATTTTATTGAAAAATGTATTAATAAAATTAAATTGGTTCTGGGTACGATGGTGCTTCTGGGTATGATGGTGCCCCTAATGGCATTCTTCGTCCACATCTGAAGACGTGGATAGCTTCTTGTAAACCCTGCACCCTCTGGTATTTTAAACATATTTTATGTAACCCGTTGACTGAAGAAATAAGATGCGCAACCTTATGGGCGAGATCGTGGCACAAAATTTGTCCGAGATGTAGCTGGCGTTCGGATGTCCCAAGGAGAAACACAGTACATATGTATATGCATTTTTTTGTAAAAATCATTTTTAACATATGTCTATTCTTGGTCATTATCTATCTATTGCAATCGTAAAAATTTAGAGTTACAGCAAAATAACGAAGATACAGTCTTAAAAACGGTATCTTAAATGTGATCGGTATAACAAAGCAACTGTTACTCTTAATTTCTCACAAAAATATTTTTATCATATACTGTGTTTTTCCTTGGGACAGCCGATATTATACTAGGCAATAAAATATATTTAATTTAACTTTATTTTTTTCAGCGCTAGATAAAAGTCTATGGCCAGACCCCCTCCCGCAGCCCAAAACGACATCCACCCCGACATGTGGGATGTTTTGGACGCTGCCACTGACTGCGATTGTCCCGGGCCGCCTCCCGAATTTCTACTACCGCCCCCTCCGAGGCCCCCCGTTCTTCAGCCGGCCGACCCCCTTTTTTGTGCTGAAGACGTGATGACCATGGAGACCTGCGACGCTCTACCGGTGAGTACAGATGATTACCACCTAAATTTTACAAATCAATATCCCCGTTTTACTGAAAAAGCGCATTACCAAGCCTTGGATTCATGAAGGTTATGTAGAATCAACTGTAGTTGTAAGGTTTCATTCCAACTCCACGTTTTCGTACCGCCACGAAACGGTTTCGGAACCCGTAGAATTGATTGCAGTGGCAGGCATTGACTTCGTACGGTTCTATTTTGGTACACAAACATCAGGTTGGAACGGTTTTAATACCGTATTATAGGGTGTCATTTGTCATTCCTCGTTTCAGGTAGAGAAGGAAAAGAAGACTAGCAGGTCTTTTTTTTTTGTTTTTGTTGTTCACACATTATTTATAAATTTATATAAAAAATAGCAAACAATAGTTTATATTACCACCGATTATTCTAGGTTATGTTCGATTCGAGCTTTGATGTTTAGACTAAAATTAAATTGCGCATGTCAGGCATTTATCGGCCCACGCGGTTTTTTTTTTCGTCTTACTGTTTTTTTTGACGGTTCCAAGTTTGGTTGGACCGCAAACTAAATAGTACGGTCAACGATCATCTCTCAGTTGGAACGCGTTTAACCTAGTGCGCTTGGCTGTGACCGTACATTGAACGGTTTTCGTCGAAGTTGGAACGAAGCTATAGTATGTGGATTTAGCAAGTCCCTGGAGGTGACTTTTATACACAAATGTATATGTTGTATATATTTATTTTATGAATGTATATAATATAATAATGCGTATGTCGGTTATACATGAATCGCATGATGTATGTATAAACTATTACAATACTTATTGAAGATGTTGCTCTTTTATACTACAGTATGAATCCCCGGAAGAATTAAGTCAGCATTATGGATGAAACTTAATCATATTCAAATCTAGAATTCCATTTTATCTGAAGAAGAAAACATTCGACCAATGTGTACTACCATCAGTCATGACCTAGGCATGTGAGATCTGGATACTTAAAACGGACATTATAAGGAAACTGCAGATCGCACAACGCTCATTGGAACGAAATATCCTAGGAATAACCAAGAAAGACCGTAAAAGAATAGAGTGGATACGATAAAAGACCCAGGTAATAGATATCATCCATAGAATCAAATCCTTCAAGTAGCAATAGGCAAGAAACCTGGCAAGAAGGACGCATCACATATGGGCCACAAACATTACAGCATAGTATCCACGAGGAACTAAGAAACCTAAAGGAAGAGCAAACCTGAAAAGGGAACATGATATTAGAAAATTAGCAGGGATTTTTTTGGGCCCGTATAGCCAACAATAGACAACAATGGGCCCAATTACAAAGAGATTTGAGATTTTTTTTTTGAGAATTGGAAATGGTTATTTAACCATTTCAGCTTATTTGCTGGAAAGGATGATGATGACGTCCCCGGATTATCTTCTCAATAAGAAAGATTTTTTAGTGACATTTTTAGAAAAATGCATTCCTGCATAAAATTTTTGGTTTGTTCTAAAATTGTTAATCCCGTTAATACTTTTCCAAAGGGATTAACCATTTTATAACAAGCAAAAATATATATGAGGTATGCATTTCTCTCAAAATGTCAATAATAAAAAAGTTTTTCTTGTAAATGCAATTTGCAACATATATATATATATATATATATATATATATATATATATATATATATATATATATATATATATATATATATTTTTGTACATATAAGAAGAAATATCGTTAATCTTGAGCAGAGTTGTTAAACTACACGTAGTAATTAATAAACAACATTTACTACATGTCACAAGTAGTTTTTTAAATGTCGAGTAGTAAATGTGTAGTTTATGTAACTAATGTAGTTTTTTTTAAATAACAGTGAAAACATAACCTAAAAACTTTGTTTGTTGATCAATTTAAAGAAATAAAAAATCTATATTTTGTGAATTTGTTCCTTATTATGTGATATTTTTGATACTTCGTAGTTAAAAATGCTTGGAAGACGTAGATGTCTCCATACCAATGACTAAAGAATCCAAGAACAAATAACACCCGAGAGCAAATTGTGACGATGTCACCAAGACCAAACAGTGCCGTAGCACATATTTTTCTTAACCTAGCTGTTTGAAGCAATATTTATATTTTTTGATAATTGTTTTGACTACGTCTATGGTGTATCATCCAAATTAATTACGAAAAAAACGTATTAAAATGTTAAGAAAAGGTACAAAACTAGTATCGACGTATAGTACATATCAAGTACATATAGATGTTAATTGAAATTGAAGAATAATTATCGAATTCAATAAGAAAACGCTAAAAAGTTGGAGTGGACTGTTTATTTACCTATGAAACGTAACTCCTGGCTCTTTCTTATCGCTGCTGCTTTTACACTTGAAAGCTGAACAACTAATCACCATTGTAATAAAGTTTGTACAAAGTTTACTACACACAAACTATTAAAAATCGCTAAAATTGTCGCTGGTGACCAAATGATGACTCATTGTTTGCCACCAAAAGAAAGGTCTCTAAGGTCACCAATTCTCCTGCAGCCCGTATAGGGGCGTTACATGTCCTTATAGTCTTTAGTCATTGCTCCATACCTTCTGGGAAGAGGGAAATTATGAAGTCGTGCCCTTAGATGTAAAAAATCATATATTCTCCTGGAGAATGTCTATGGAGAATTTCTCCATAAGAATTTATAGTTTATTTTGTGTTCAATGTTACTTTGTATTTCGTAGAAAATACACTTTTGTTAAAAAAAATTGTCTTTTTTCTGATGTTGTTTTACTTATACAAATATAATATAACTTCATACTTCCATGATAAGAATTTGGCTTGATTTTTGTTTAAAGTCTAAATTGTCTATGTTTTACTATATTTTTGTAGGTAGTTTTTGTGTAGTTTTTGAAGGTAGTTTTTAAAATTTTAAAACGTAGTTAATACAAAAAACTACGCGTAGTTTTTGGCGTAGTTTTTTGCTTCATAATCTACTTAACAACCCTGATCTTGAGTGAGGTACTTAATATAACCCCCCATTTCAAACAGAGTTATGCAAATCGATACGTCACTATGCATTTGAACGTAACTAATCGAGCGTTAAATTTTTAATGCGCCTGTTTCTGCGCAATCTCCAATTACCAACGGTTCGACTTGTCTCTCTATGGCTACGTAGTACACACCTATACATATCCTACATGTGTGTGTGTATTTCTATTTTAATGCCATGTGAATTTAATATTTGATTTTCGAAGCCGCTGCCGCTCTGTCGACCGTTGTTTTCCCACGGTTTTCCGCGGCTGCATGCAAATTTCCAATGGGGAAATGAATGGGCCGAAACAGTAATGGAAACGCCAGATTCCGTTAAATTTTAAAACGCCAACGTAATGGATAAATGGAGGGTTTCTCTTTGTGGACGCGTGTTTGTGTATGTAGCTGTGTGTTTCCATGCATTTATCGTCATTTAGTTAAATTACCCGAATAGCAAAAAAAACGCACTGTAATTCGGACAGATAATATGGTTTTATACTTATAGTAGATATTTTTAGTTTGTAATAGCTAAAAGGAACACACCTTTTGAAAGGACAGACGTGACACTCCCGATATGAAATGAGTTCCAGTTCACAACAGCATTGGAAATCTTATTCACGTGGTAAACACAACTTTTGCAGAGAAAAAAAACGGTTTTGTGTACAGAATCAGCCATTTTTAGAAATATGCGTTCTTGCATAAAAATTTTGGCTTATTCTAGAATCGTTAATCCCGTTTCTTAATTTCAATCTAGTGAGGTGTTCATTGTTAAAAATTTCATGACAATCCAAAGATTATTCTTATTACATGAAGGAAAATCTTTGATTTTTCTTTACCTAATTTGTTCAGCTTCTTTATGTATTCTTTGACCAATATATAAATAATTACTTTAGAGAATTACTTTCTTTAAAATAATCATAAATATTACTTCTTTTACTTACTAAAAGAATTTTCTACATTTACTCTAAAACATAAATTAATGCCACATCTAGCACGCCGTACAACGTGATGCAGGCCGGGCGGTATAGCGCGGCGTCTCTAACTACATCGCGCGCACGGGTACTGATAACTTTAAATCAGAATAACTATAAAACTATTAGTAATAGAAGGTTGTAACAAGTTTTAAAAACTTTTTCAATATTTTTTCTTTATTTCATACCCAGATACTATGTAAAAATTCCTTCAAATAAAAAAGTTTCTCGCTTACAGAAAACCATGATACAATAAAGTTAATGTTTGAAGTTTAATCCATTTTCCAAAAAAAATACACTTGAAACTTTAATTACCTCAGTTAACACCGCCTATGTGTTCCCAATCGATTAAAAAAAGAGTATGTGAATAAGTTGATTAGTTTAGGAGTTATCGCGTAGGAAAGGTAAAAAAACATGGTTATACATTTTTGACAGATTTTTGACATTTTCCGGAATAAAAAATTTCTGACCCCGCCAAAAAGGTCGTAATTAGTCATTTCGCATGCACAAAGCTCTAACCGATCATTTCATAACGAGTTAATGTGGTTATACCTTAAAAAAAATTCCAGAAGGAAGCGACTTTTCTCAGTGATTTTACTCCACTACAACTTCGAATTGATGGTTACTATTGATCGCTTTTAAGGCTACTTGACTTATCGAATAAGTTAGCTGTTTCTTGTTTCCGATAGTTTCTATCTAAGATAAGTTGTACGCATTTTTCTATAGAGTAGATTTTGCCTGAATGATGCTGGGGTAGGTACCCGCATTGGTTTGGAGTATATAGTTTTCGGCCAAATACCTCTATCCCTGTTCCTGCTTGGTTTTGGAAGCATTTTCTTATGTTTATCTCACGAACGTTTTAAGCCAAGATTTCAAGGAATTAAGATAGTGACACAACTTTACAGGCAAATGTTAGCGTTATTCGAAGCACCATCAAAGAAAGCAATAATATATGCTTAGACCCAAAGATATTATAGTTTGGTTATTTTGCCACACAAGGGAAAAACCAGAGTAGTCCACGCGTAAA